TGGCTTATGGCTTGGATCACTTGTACTGACCTATATCTCAACTGAGCTGGAGTGCAGCCGGAGCTGACCTCCTCTTTTTCACCCTCTTGATCCTTGCTCCACACAGTATGCACATTGTAACGATGAGGGAGGTTTTTAAAGGCGACAACATGTATGCACCCTGACTCTGACTCCTAAAGCTGCCAGCCAGCACGCAGGAATTTGCCCTGACATTCCAAGTGGGAAAGTTTTCGGGGGGTGATTTTTACACGAGCGAATGTGTCGGGTGGCAGGGGTGAACACAACAGTCCCTGTGCGCACTCGTGCCGTCAAATCGTTGTCAAAAGTTCAGCACGTTTTTTTTCTTCTCATGAAGATTTAGAGTCTTGTGTTGGTTCAAAGTGTCTTTGTCAAGTCCAGGCCCCTTCACGTTGATGTTGCGTTTCAATTTCCCATGGATGGCTTCAGTGGAGTTAGTATAAAGTGGCATAAAGAATGACGGTTCCTATCAATAAAGGATGGGTTTTCTGCAGCCTTGTCCACATGTAGCCTGGTATTTAAGAAATATCCATTTTTATACATACAAATTTGTCATTGAGCATTGATGTAAATATGCCGAACGCATAGAGGGCAGTGTAGCTCAAAGTTAAAACCTATCAGCCAATCGGATTGCTTCAAAACAACCATAACGTCCTCTTAGGAAGTAAACATGGCACTAGGAGGTTCACAGTACGTTTAAATAGTGTATTAGACTAAAACACAAAACAATGATTGGGAATCATGTCAAAGCAAGTACATAAAACTAACTTTTCTGCAAGATATACAAGCTTTTATCAGCCAGTAATTCCTTAGTAATAATTTAAGAAGTGGAATATTTCACTTAAAGCACCTATAGCTTGCTGAAAAATACATGTAAGTAAGTTTTGTCTTATTTCTAGAATTCTAAGATTTTCGCACTAGAAACTTGACTGAATCTACTTGGTTAGATTTTGCAGTTCTTGCAATGAATATTGTGCTACTTGCAGACCTTCTGATTATCTTCAGAGCAACTGAACCCAATTGTCCCTGTTTATTTTTCCACTAACTTGAAGCTTTTCTGCTTCACAAACAAACAATGCAAACAATAAAGACTCTCAGGCTTGTGGCTTAAGTAGCAAAAAGATACCGCATATATCAAGGAAGTTCATCCTCCTAAAAATAGCATTAAAAAATTATTACATTTGACGGTAAACAGGAGATAGAAACAGAGAGCTTCACAAGCAGAAAAGCTTCTGAGGGTGGAGAAGGAGAACAGATGCTCAGAATGTGGCTTGGTCGATAAAACCGATGGAGTTACTCTTCTGCACTCTCGGGTTTCCCAAGTTGACCTCTACGAGTGCCGATCACATTCTGCCGCAGAAGAGCCAAACACACACATCCACTGGAGCGACACGCGTGCACACATGGCGGCTTCCCATCCACAAACATGCACACTCAGAGGTGTGGCTCAAGTATGCACGTAGAAAATTAAGAAGTTCTTGAGGCATTAATGTACAATGTTTACGCTACAGATCTCTTAAAAAAAAGGCTTGATGTCTGCATCAACATCTTAAATTATAAATGTCTATGTTAAATTTATAGTATAAAATGAATTTTTAACAAATCTGTCAGTTTTTATAAAATGTAGACTAATAGTAAGTTTGATTGTAATCTGATACACATGCACTATCTGGAAATTAAGCTGGTCAAGTAAGCTGGAATCACAGGCAGAAGGAGAAAAGAAAAAGAACAAGTTCAACGAACAGGGATAGTGTTATCTGTTGTTTCTCTACGTTGCTTGTTTCTTGCTCTGGTTTTGTCTTGCTTTCTTGGGTGCAGCTTATAATAAAGAAGCACCTCCTTTCCTTTACATTAAGACTGCAAAGCATTGAAACATTGACAGCTGTTTGCAAGAGGCTGCAAGCTGCTGGAATTACAAGTTAAACTCAGGTGTGGCTGAATAACTTATACACACACACCCGTCACACACAAAGCACTCAAGGGTGTAAGGCAACAGCGTCTTCCTATATAATTACTTGCTTGACAACACATGCATGAGTGGATTTCCTGTCACAAGTCGTTATCAGATGAAGCCAGAAGAAAAATTATTTTAATATTACCATACTAATAATTAGACTTAACCTTAAAAATGTGGATTAAAAGGTATTGTTGCTGTTAAAGTTGGTTTCCAGCTGACAGATCCTGTTAATTTAACGGCTCTGCACTTTTCAGTTTTAAAATGTTTAATGATAAGCTCGGGTTGTGTGACTGTGGAGGCACCTGGAGTGTGAACTGATCGCCTCCGGACTTGATTTGCAGCCTCCTCATTTTTTGAACGTTTAAAGCTGAGGGTGTAAGAGGCAGACAGTAGACCGGCACACATTACTGAACAGTTTTTCCTCCAGAGCTGAACTAATGTTCTGTCTCATAGATCCAACAAGGTATCCAACGTCCTTCTCAGACGTTTTGGCAGGACAACATCCCACAGCTAATGCAGATTTGTTTACTAAACATTCATATAGCTCAGGATGAATTGGAATTATGAAAGTCCAACATGTAAACATGTAATAGAAGGTTACATAGTAATAATCTTAGTAGCATAATAAATTAAGACAAAACTTACTAAACAGAAGGTTAAAACCTGACAGCAGCACAAGGATAAAATGTAGAGAGAAGGTGGGGAGGGGACATTTATCCTGGACAAAGGACATTTTTGTCAATGAATGGTGTCCTGTTTCCTGAGTATTTATGTCTTCTTGGGGGTAAAAGCTAATGGGGTAAGGTGGGGTAACTATGGAGATTATGGTAATACTGGTGCATCTTCTTGTCTTGTGCTGAAGATGGCTGAATGGGAGATGATTGATTGTAGTTTCTTCTTAAAATCCAAGCAAAAAAATAATCAAAACAAGATCATTACAGATTCACTCAATTCAAAACTACTTTCATTGACATTAACTCAATACATTTTAAACATAAAACGTTTAACTTTGATCAGCTCAGAGTATTTTAATGCAAACACTCACTCGGTTCACTCCTGGGGGTCGTTGACCTTTCGGTCGGAAGGCGACCCCTCCTCAATAAATCGTAGCTGCTGAGTCATAGCTACTAGAAACCGCGGAGCACTGCACTGATGAGCCGTTTACAGATATTTTTAACACTTTGCTTGAGACGTGCCGTTTGTCAGACTGTTGTAAATCCAACACCTAAAATAATCACAGCACACAGAACCGAATGACCACATAGACGTTTAGAGACTTTAATAATATGGTTTCTGTAAACGGATTCTTGAGCTAGCTGCATGCGGTTGGTATGGGGGAATTTTTCTGTCATCATTTGAGAGCACATATTTTCAGTTTGAAAGCAGGATTTACAGTCTTTTGTACTCAAAACTTCTGCTCTTTTTAAACATTCACTGTGCTTTTTCAAACCTTCCTCCTCGTGCTCAAAACTTGTCTTTGCTCAAATCAAATCTCCACTTGCTTGCGAATTATTTTCTGCTCGCGCTTGGAACAAAAACTTACTGTTTCCTGGCAACCTCTAAGCCAATAGAATGAAAGCGTTCTAACGGGTGCGTTTGTTTCCTGCTAGTGTGTGTTCCTGTGTGGCTGCTATCGATTGTGCCACCCACTGGATGTAGGGAGAAACAATGACCTCAACTTTGCAAGCGGAGATTCGATCCGAGCAGACAAGTTTTGAGCATGAGGAGAAAGGTTTGAGAAATTAATAATTACAGATTTTGAGAAGAAAGACATGAAGTCCTGCTTTCAAACTGAAAATATGTGCTCTCAAGTTATTGCAGAAAAATTCCCCCATAAATTGGTTATTTGACAAATACTAAACGGTCAATAGTTCAATAAATAGAGCAGTAAAGGAAGGAAGAGAAAGATACCTTTTATAAGTTATGAATACACAAATCTGATAACAAAATTAATTGATTTGCAGCGTGTTGAACACCAATAAAAGGTGCCTCAGTTTTGCTGAGGCTTTAGACAGTCATAAGACTGGGTCGGAACAAATGAAACAGCCTTAAGAACGTTTTCCAGTCCTTAACAAGTAGGAAAGTGTTGGCGTTTCCACAAAGCACTTTTCTCATCCCTGGAAATTCCTTTGCCGAAAGCTCCACAGCAGCTCACCGCATCGTCTTGTAAACGTCTTCACCTCCTCGGTGAAAAATGGACGCTTTGCACTCAGCTGCTCTCCTGAGGTATTTAGAGCCCTTAGAAGCCAACACGCTGATTTCCTGTTGATGATGTGAGCAAGTGTAAGTAAGTGACAGGCGAGGATAGGTTTCCATATCCGCGGTGAGGAGGGAACATGTCCGCTAATGGTCGGAGGAATCCGGGCAGGACTGGATGGACAAACCTGCTCTTACTCTCATTAAAGGTTCCTCTGGGATTTGGGGGAAATGACCCTGATGTGAGACCCAGTGTGTGTCTGCATTTACGGCTATGAAGGAGAAAGGCTGAAAAAGAAACAAGAGCTTTTTGAATTTAGATCTTCAATCCTGTTTGTGATATTTAAAAGCATGTTGCTCCATTAGTTGCAACTTATGGAGAAGCAAACATTGACAAGGTACAATCCTTATAAATAAAATATATTATGATGCAACAGAGATAAATAGCTTCTAAATAATCAAATGTGCAGGCACTGATCAGGTGATTCTTGTTTTTGTTCTGGTTTTTATGCATTAATTTAGAAGAAAATTGTTTTTAAGACTCATATGTTTTAATCCAGTTGGGAGAACCTGTCACTGATAATGAGTTCTGAATAAATGTACAACGTCTAAGACCAAACAGAGATTTGCAAACATGGTCAAGCACTAATTCAAATATTTATAGCCTGGAGAAGCTAACAAGCTGAAAAGAGGAGGGATATTGGAGTGACACTTAGCAGGCAGCCAAAAGGAGTCAAACAAGCTAAAGCCAGTCGTTGGAATGCTGCTTTTCTACTGTGTTTATGATACATAACAATAAAATCCAGTTTGTATCTGGTTGTTTTTGCAGCAAACTACCCAGCGCTGACATCCACGCCTTATCCTAGCTTCCCAGAGATGTTTGAGGAATACAGTATGGTAGAAAACCTCCCACCAGAGGCGCCGAGTCCCAACACCACCACCGCCGCCACCAATGGAGACTCCAAAGAAAGGCTCTACCAGGGGATTAATGACAAACTCATCCCCATATACTGTTCCATCCTGGCAGCTGTCGTTGTGGGTCTTGTGGCCTTCATCATCTTTAAGAGGTGAGTACTCCGCAGTTGAAGATGTCATAAAGAATCCTACAATGACGCAGCACAACGTCACCCAATGCATATGGACGCAGGAAGTGAATGCAGCCCATTTACTGCAAACCACAATAAATGGTAACCATTTACTACCACATTTTGCAAAGGCAGTCGGTCACAAGGGAGTTTGAGTTCATTTAAAAAAAACCTACCGAAAAAGGACAATAAAACTGGATCAGCAATGTACGGCTAAAAACAGGAAATGCAGAAACTAATAGTACCAGAGTTTCTATCATGTAACAGATTCAACCTAAATCTTTTTGTTCAGTCTTTATTGAGAGTGAGTTAATGTTATATTACAAGTAAAGGTGCACTGATGCCAAAGTAAATAAATAAATGTTGAACTCACCAGATTTAAAATATGGTTGTTTTTCATATTTAATGAAATCATCTGCTGCTACATTTCAATATGGCAGCAATCTGCTTGTTTTATGGGTCACTGTATCCATTCCTCCCATAAATGTTGCATGCACAATATGTTTAGGTATTAATATTGTATTAGTGAAGCACAATAAAAATGTATTGAAAGTCCTGGTGTAAACTTTTCATCATATTTTAGGTTTCAGTTTATTTTTAAAACAAACCTCACAGAAAGAACGGTGAACGGGGGACTAGGAACAAAACAAGAACAATAATCTAACAAAAATAGGAAACTAACACGAAATAATATTAAAATTAGAATCAAATGAAATTACATTTGCAATCCGAAGAAGTCAATCAAGTGTTGTAAGCAGCCAGGTGTTGCATGTTCTCTCTCTGGATACTCCGACTTTGTCCCACAGAGCAAAGTTCAAGGCCAACCTTTCTGTTTGCACTGATTGTCATGCAGGTGGAACAGCTGTAAGCAGAACAAGCAAGGAGCCAACAACTGCACGACCAACCCGAACCAGACTCCGTCTGCAGAGGGAGAGAAGCTCCACAGCGACAGCGGCATTTCTGTGGACAGCCAAAGTCTGCAGGAGCAGCAGGGACAGACTCAGTCACAAACAGGTGGCTGCATCATTCACATTAAAAAACAAAACACTACCTTTATGTAAAGACATATACACTGTAAAACATCTGAGTTGCATGTAGTTGTCTACTATCAAGTTGTCTAAACATGGTTTAGATTTCATAAACTTTAATTTCTGAGTTAAAACCAAAACATGACTTAAATTGCATTTTCAAGACAGCAGGTGGATTTTCATTTTAAAGTTAAGCCACCTTCAAATGTTTTACAGTGTATATTCATTGCATTGCATGCAGTTTAGTGTTTTCTTGTGAACTGTTCCTCCAGAGGAATTTTCCCTCAGGAAAAAACCATCTTAAGCCTTCACTAACTCCATGTTAACAACGACCTTTGAGACTTACTCCAGCAAATCAGCAGAGCAGGACTAGAAAACTGACAGTGTTTGTTTTCAGGGCAGTGCATGATGCTGCTGCTGGTTTCCTGCAAAGTCCTGACAAACCAACTCAAGACGATTTATGGATTTCAAAGCATCTGTTGCATGTAAAACATTCAAGGAAACAAAACCACCTGAGTATTTAAACAGCATTTTCTGTAGTTTAAGTTGAAGGAAATATCCACAATCAGTGCACAAAGACCAATTTCAACACAAAATAAGAAGTTACACTTTTTTTTATTTTTTTTATTTTATGTGAGATTTTTGTTCAGCTTTATGAACAAACAAGGCAACCCCTTCAGATGTCTTGCATGGTCATTACACCATATTGTCTCTATTTGCCAAGACTGTTTCTCGCAGCCGACAGAATTTGGATAACAAATTTCCATCAATTTTTGCAATAATTCAAAATAAAATAAATCGTTCCTAACTTCTCCTTGCAGTTGTGACCATCGATGAAGAACCGTGTCTGCTCCTTCCTCTCCACACTAGAGAGAAAGTGGAGAAGCTGCTTTTCCAGGGCAGCGAAGGGGAAAACTGCGACCACATGCAGGACAGCGACTGGTGCAGCCTGGCAGGCCTCCTCGGATATGAGGAAGAGCGAATTGCGACCTTCCAGCAGGAAGAGCATCCCGTCCGAGCGCTGTTGTCCGACTGGGCGAGGAAGGACTGTGCAAGCGTCGACGCGTTGTGCACAGCGCTCCGCAAGATCAACCGTGATGACATAGTGCAAAGTTTGGTGCTCAGCCCGAGCGGCACAAAGCCCACTGCGACCTCTGTGGTGTAGCGTCTCTCCGTTCCTGTCCGAAACAACTTAACACCTGGACCTTAACATTGAAATATTCCAAATACAGCATCTTAGATTATGCCACATAATTCCTGCTGCAGCTGCTTGACACAATATTTTGATAATGCAACTCAGAGAGATGATCCTAGTAACCCCTTTATCATGTTATAAATCACTCTGAATCTGAAACAAATGAGCAAAAAAAAGCAAAGTTAGGTTTTCCAAATTACTTAAACTTGCAGACAATGGGAAATTAAAGCGATTTAAAAATAGGAAAGACACGTTTTACTTTAAATTATGGGGACATCAGGTTTAAATCCTCTGACTGAACTCACAGTGGAGTAGTTGTCTGCTTTGAACACAAACTTTTGTGGATAACTTGCTCTTTCTCTTTCTCTTCATATGTTTGTATTTTCTGTGCACCTTCCACTTATTACATTGTCTTTTTTTTTTTTTTACGTCTATGTTACCAAAGAAGCTGAAGTGTTTTTCAGACCCAACCTGTTCAGTGACATTATTCACACGCCCTGTCAGACTTTTTAAATTTAACTCGGCTTGCGTCTGTAACTACTGTGCCTGTTTCTTCTACTGGATGAAGAAGTATCTGGATTGACAACCTGAGGAGTTTCTGATGGACTCTTTTCAAGTGAACCTGCTTCCTCGCTCCCTTATTATTAGTACTATTGGATAACAGCGCAAAGCAGCAGTGGTTGAGGATGTTATCTCCACATCACTCCATCTACTTCTGCCGACTCTTGTTTTGTTGATTCTCCCTGAGGCGCTGTAAAAAGTGAAGCCTGTTGTTATGTAGGCCTCAGCTTGCTTTTAACCGCTCAAACATCATTCCAGTATCACAGTTTCTCATTCTTACCCTGAAAATGGTAGAAACTCTGTAAAAATCCTATGTACTATATTTACATGACAAACAAGTAGATACAAATGTAGATTTAGTTGACGTACATACACTCCTACAGTCTGTAGCCCTGCATGCATGTACTGTGCTCAACAAACATACATTTGCATTCAAAAGTTAATGATGATAAAACAAGAAAACCATATTCAGCCTCATATATGGCATCGCGCACTCAACCGAGGGACCATACACTGTTTATTGTTCATATTTGTGGCAATTTGTTCATTGATCCTAAAAGTGTTTGGTTGCTTTTGTTGGTCACAGGCAGGAAATAATGCTGACCAACTTATTGCTGTTTTATATGAACACTTAGCTGACTCAAGACATAAAGCTGCAGTCTACAATATATTTACAACTTCCTCTGGCTTGACATTTTGCTCTACACAAAGTCTATTGAGGCGCGTTGACGATGCGTCAAATTCGCTCAAGCCGTTGTTTTCTGTTGCTGGCCTATTTGTTGGACGCATTGGACACGCTTGACGCGTCAAACGGTTCCAAAGGCGCCACAATAGATGCGTGAAACGCGACCGGACATCGACGCACCTCCACATAGACTTTGAACGTAAACCAGATCCGCCTGATGCTCGAAACACATTTGGTGTGTTTTGAGCACCACGACTTTAGCAATTTCTTCTGTTTTGAAATGATCCGTTGATAACTCAGTACGCACTTCAGAGGTGCAGCAGCCAAGACAGTCTCTCTTTTCTCTCATTTTAAACCGTCAGAAACACTTCTCCCAAATAAACTCCAAAAATGTAGAATCTAGAATAGAATTCTCAGGGACGTCCACTCCAATCTCAAACGCTCTGACGTGACCAAAGATGCCATTATTCTTGCGACTGACAATCCTTAAAGCTGATTGATTAGAGACAGAAACTGGTCAGCAGAAGAGGAAGAAAAAAGAAGGAGAGGGGAGTTTCACTTCTTCTTTGTTTGAGACAATGAATGGCGAATAAAGGGCAGACCAGCTGGGACAAAAGTCACAGGATGCATGAGAGAAACGGAGAAGTCTCAGATTACTTCAGTCAATGCAAAGGAGAAACCCAGGCCTACATGTTAAACAACTTGTTCAGATGTAAGCATGTTGATTTATTTTCCTTTGTTTTATTTGAATTTAAGAAAATAGTTTCTTCATCTCATGTTATATCTTATTTTTTTACAACTGCGTTGCATTTTTTTGTTCACTGTTCACCAGAAGACACAAACGTAGCGCTAACTCACCCGACTTTCCCACTCGAAGCACAGATTACTATTATTGACTTGTACACTGAGCATATTGTTGGTCTGTTACTTTATATGAAGGTATTCTTACTCCTACTACTAGTTCTCCTAACAAGCAACTTTAAATGGTATTACATTTCTGTTTTTGATTTTAGCACTTAAATGTGTAATCATTTATGTTTTATGCATCACAAGTGCCTGAGAACTATTTCAGGTGTATGTTGGTGTACATTTATTGTTTTAAGGAATTTGTAAGTGTAATTCTAGGTTTTTATACCTGTAAATAATTTGTCTTTGTTGTTTCTTTGTAGTTTTGTTGAAGCATTGGAGGCAACACTGTAAATGTAAACAGGGCTTATGTTCTAAACTTGTTTGTTTAAGTAAATAGCAAAAGGAAATTGACTTCATTTATAATTATTGACCATCGGGTATCTTAAAATTAAGAAGACAAAATTCAAAGTTAGATTTAGATTTAAAAAAAGAAGCATTATCAGGTGTTTTAGCAAATACACGGTAGTTGATGTGGTTTACCATGTTGTATGCATAAACATACAAAAAAGAGAAATTTCACAACCAAAGAGCAACAATTTCTCATAAAAAGCCTAATGAAGCTAAATGAGGCATTTCTGTACTATCCTATTAGTGCCATATAGTAAATTTTGTTTAATTGTGAATAAGTTATGAGAGAAGATGCATGCACCACTTTTAAACTCTGAAAATCTGCAATTATAAATTTGTTAATGTAACTGCAGGGAGGCATGGATGTGAACTATTTATGCTAATTTTACTACTTTATTCAATTTCCAAATTGAAAAAGCAAGCCTTCTTTTCCCTTAAAGTAAAAAGTATTTTATCATTTATGTCCAGATGAGGTCGTCTGCAAAAGTTTTCAGTTCTGGTGGTTGTGTTGTAGTATCCATACATGTGCACTATTACTAGCTGTAGCATAAAAAAATCAACATTATATCACATATTACAAATAAATTACAAAACATTCCCAGACTGGAATATTTGAAACATTTGCACCAGCAAAAGTATAATTCAGTTTAAGCCTCTAAATGAGCTACAATATTACAATATGACATAAAAAAATACATTAGAGAGAGAAATTTTAGTTATTCATCCTTATAATGTCTAAGGGATTTCTCGTCCTCATACTGATCATCTGTGGTTCTGCATGTATCTTGGTTTATTTAAATTATGTCAAACAATATAAAGGACTTTTATTTCTCGCCGTTTCTGCCTAAGACGCTGGTCTACCTGTACAGTTGAAGGTGAATGTGATGATATTGCACTTGAGACACAAGTTACAACCTAATTATGCAAAAAGGGACTAAAAAATATAGGTTGGAGTGAGAGAATAAGGGAGAAAAACTGTGTTTTGGGTAAAAACAACAAACCCTGATAGTGAACAGTGATGGGAATGACAGTAAACCAGAACTGAATTGTACAGAAACAGTGAATGTTCCATGTATACTCACACATGTACTGTCTTATACTGAATGTGAATTTGCTTTGAGTTCTACAATAGACAAGCAGTAAATAAAGCTCTTTAATTCACTTATGCTCTTTATTGATCCAACATAATACAGATGAGTGTATCAAATTACAAGCTTCACACAATAATTAAAGGAGATGAGGAAAAAAATTGTGAATATACAAAAATATCAGATTTGAGTGAATAAAGAAATTGTTTTTGGATTGCAATACTTTTATTTTCCACGTTTTTGCCTTATAGTTAGCTAGCAACAACAAATGTTTTTCGGATTTCCAAGCTGAACTCGGAAATGTTTTTTGTGACATACAGCTTTGGAAAAAAACATTGTTCTTTTACTCTATGAACTACTGACAATATATCTCTGAAATTACAAGCAAAAATTTTGTGTTTATTTGGTTAAAATAACAAAAACGACTCAGAGCTTTCAGACCTCAAATAATGCAAAGAAAACCAGTTCATATTCATTTAGAAACATCAATAGTAAAGTTTTAACTCAAAAATTAATATTTGGTGGAATAACCAGGAGGTTTTCAATGTAGTTCAGTGCAGTGGGCTCTTTATTGTTTCCAGAGCTAAATATTTATTATTTTATTATTAATTCCTACTGGATATGAAAACAAAATTTGATCTCTTGAAAATTGGTTGGATATGAAAATGCAAAACCAACAACTCCTGTTCAACATGCATTCAAATTCACTTTTTTAAACATAATCGTTAATAAATAGATATGCATATAGACAAAACAAAACTCCTTATTTTTTAAACCAGAGATTTGCTTCCAGCACCAAAAAGGCTTATTCCTTCAGATTATGGTAGTAATTGTTTAGCAGAGTAACTGATATAAAAGAAAAGTTTGTGTCTTCCTCGTCTTCATCAACCCGACTGCGTGTTGTAATCGGTAGCCCTGTCAGCGCCGCTTCCTTTGTCTGATGACTGATCTGGAAAATAAATGGTGCATGAAAAGGCAGAACAGATGGAGCTTCTTCGTGTTTTCTCTGAATACACTTAGAGATAACAGAAGCCATCATGACATACCTCTGATAAAAATAAATAAACAGAAAACGGATGAAACCTTATTTTTACAAAGGCTGTAGCACAGACATAATGATTTATTAATCATTATATTTGTTTAATTGTTTAAATAGCTTAATATATTGAAAAAATACATTGATTTTGCCTGAGGTGAAATTTATCTTTTATTTTTCATTTATTTGATTAGACTTAAAAACTGTATTTTTTTATGGTCATATTTAATAAAGCTATATCCCTGCAGTTCATCTAGCAGCTTTTTGTAGATTCAGTCAGAATATTAGATTTGTAAAACATTTTCACACATTTGTCATGACAATTCAGACTTCTTCAGAGTGTGGAGAATGTTACATTTATGTAAAAAATTTAACATTTTGCATAAATATTTAATTACAAATCAGAAAATCTCACTATAAATCAATGATAGATATTTCTATATTTATAAAAGAACATAAAATAAATAATATTTGTGTCAAAATTGTGCATGTTGCACAGCTTGTACATGGGTATTTCTCTCAAATAAAATTAGATTTATATTTGAGGTAAAGCAAAACACCCCAGGGCTCAGGCTGTCAAAACTGGTCTCAAACAATCGACTTAAAACCAATTTTACAAGCTCCTAATCCATATAAATCTGGTGTAATAGTCTCTAACCTGCGTCCACAACCTCGCTCCACCTTGATCTCTCTCAGCTTGTTCACATCAGAAATGACATAAGCAGGTCGTAAAACAGCCCCAGCGTCCAATATCAGTTTCCAAGTTGCCTTTTCCCCAAATGGAAAACACATTTCCAAGCTAACTGCTGCCCTCCAGTGAGCCGTTAGCGGGAAACGCTACACGTGTGAAGGGATCCATGTGTGCAGATGTGACATGTGGTGGTGAAAGGCGATAAGTCAGACTGAGGTGACCAGTTAGATACGGAGCGAATGTTAAAGAGAGGGAAGAAAAGTCGCTTTAAGACAAACTGCGTCGACAGTTTGAGTTTCTGCTGAGACTCAAAAGAACGGGACTTTCAGTTCGTAAGATTACAGGTAGTATAAAAGAAGTAAAGGTAGAACGTTACAGATGGGAAATGTGCCGCTTTTCAAGCAAACACAATAAAGTCATGAATCTTATCAGTGAAGTTTATTTGTACAGCACATTCAGCATCAAGGTGGTTCAAAGTGCTTTACATCATAAAAGCAAAACCACAACATTAACAAGAGTGAGGATCACAAGTAGAATGATCCGTATTCACTCTAAATCACAGGTGCAGTTGGTAGCACCGTTCCCCTGCAGCAAGAAGGTAGTGGGTTCGATTCCCGGCCCGGGGCATTTCCATGTTCTCCTGTGCATGGTGGGTTCTCTCTGGGTACTCTGGCTTCCCCTCTAACAGTCCTAAGACTTCTTAACACCATGACTGGCTTAATTGGCATTAAAGATCCTCTGGTGTTATATCAACCTTCCAGACCCCTCAGGTCTTCTGGTTCTGGTTCTGCTCTGCATCACCAGAACCAAACATGGAGCTTCTAGACCAGAAAACTGTAAATCTAGACTAAAGTTGTGTTTGTACCATAATAAATGAAACTCTAACCAACATTTTGATGTGTGATGACTTGGAAAAATGTAATGTTTTCATGATGTAAAGCAATCTGAACTGCCTTGCTGCTGAAATGTGCTACATAAATAAATCTTAATTTAATTTACGGTAGATGGAATAAGACAACTTTTCAATGCCACTGCAGGTTGTTTTCACACCTGATAGTCCAGGAAACTCGTTTCAAATCAGGACCACCATGTTCAGGTGGTGCTGTTCAAACAATCTAGATCCTTTTACAGCAACACTTGCTGTAGAATTGAGGTCAATGCAGATGAATTTAATTTCATAATGATTTTATCAACCTGTTAAATGTTTGTGAACTTTACCATCTTTGTTTCTGCATGTAGTTTTAGTGTTGATTAAATATTAGGACAGATTCTTGAAACTATCTTTCCTGGTGCATCTGTTGATTTTTATTAATAAACTATATTCATTCACTCATTGCTGCTGGGCTGTACAGTAAGTGTTCTCAAAGGGGACAGTCTAACCCATGTTCTTACAAGCTGTCCATCTACTCAATGAATTGATGTGGTTTCCAACTCTGTTCTGTTATTCTGCTCATAATCCTCCCCATCACCTGCCTCTGTTTGCTGAAACACACAGCCAGGCTCTGCCTGTGACCCACACAATTAAGTGAAGACTGATGAAATTATCCGTCTCGAATGAGCAAATGGACGGATGAGTGGATGGAACGGCGAAGTGGGATGGAGGGTGAGTCCATTCTGCTTCCCTCTGAGACCAGGGGAAATTCTATTAGGCTCACGATAGAGCCATTTTTCACCTTCTGCTACGTCATCCTATTATTATTTAATTCCTCTTCTGTTTGTTTCTCTCCAGAGTCGGTACAACGTCATTACAGGGTTGCCTCTCCTACCTTTTGTTTGTGTGTATTGCACCAAACATCCTTCCTGCTTTTAGCTACCTTGATTAATTAATGTCATAAAATGTTCTTAGATTACATAAAAACTCATTTTTAATATTTGGAAGCCAGATTGTGAAATAAATGTCTGTTTCGGAAGCACAGGAACATTTATGTTGGTGTGGCTTGAATCTAATAAATCTAATGGGGCCTTTAGTCAAATTTTAACAGAGAATTATTACTACTATTATCATTATTATTATTATTATTATTATTAGCTTCAAAATATCTAACATCTAATAATAATCTGTGTCTAGAAATAAATTGCTTAGGAGTAGAGAAGGAACTTGTTACATTTACTCATTTTGCTTTACTTTTTGCTTTTACTTCAGTAATTTTATTCTGCTCTATTTTGAGTGAAATTTCGCGATTCTCTACCAGCTGAATGAAAAATAAACATGTTTTAACCAAAGATTCACAGACACACACCTGCAGTTTGTGTTAAAGTTTTTTATTAAAAATCAGATTTGGAAGAATTGCATGTTGCCTGATTTTTGTCATTCTTTTGTTACTTATGTGAATTATTGTTATTTCTCATCCTTAAAATACAATAGATAAATAAATAAATCCACCTAACCTTCTATATTTGTTCATCTGATGAAGCAATTTTTACATTTTAAATTATTGATCATTTGATCGGAAATTGAGAAAACTTTTTAGAACATACTTCTTCAGTGTTTATGGACTAATTTTATTCTTCAAAGTTTGTTTATCGTAAAGTTGTAGCTACTTTGCAACATAAAGACTCGTTTGATTTGATCATTTATTTGCACAAGAGCCTCTATTACGTTTATGTTCATTTCAAAAACCATCAAAAATTTTCAATGTCTTTGAAACCAAACTTCACTTAAAGTCTGTCTAAAAGCCCCTCCTTTCACACCCTTTTCGCAGATTAAATACAGATAGAACCAGATATTTGCATGCACTGTATAAAAATATAAAAAGAAACATAAATAGTTGCCAAGCTCTGACAATAAACCAAATCACAACAAACCTCAATCTAAACGATGGTCTGTATTTTCTAAATTTTCATTCAAATTATTTGTGAAAAAAATGTCCTACTTTTGGACTTTTTTGTAAAGCAGATTTTAAATGGTCAAAACCTGAATATCCAGGCGCAGTGCTGCTTGACTCGTTATTGACCCAATGAGGAGTGGTGGTAAAGCTCTGACTATTCAGAAGCAAATACTGAGGCATCAACGTATTAATTGCATTTCATGTGAAACAAATGTCTTGTTCAGAGTTTCTACTTTTTGTCTCTTGTGGCTTTACTAGGAAATATTAGTCTTTCCACCTGTTTTATTCTTTTGTTACATAATCCTGACAAGTGAGTCACTGAACTAAAGGGAACTGCATGTCATAACAAAGAAAAGGGTCATAGTTCACTCACCCAGACAGGAAAGTTCCCTCCAAAGCTTTTGTGCACCTGAAGATGAAACCTGCTGGAGTCAAACAGATACTCTGTGTCAGCTTTACATTATAAAGGACAAGGAGTTAAAAACCCTGCAGATGTTTACAATGCAGTGATTTTGTCA